TACAATTATTATCTCATTTGAGCCTTCCAGCAACCTAAGAAGCAGGTGTTATTATTACCATCATTTAACAAATAAGAAAGCTGAGACAAACAGGTTAAGGGACTTGTCCAGGATTACACAGCTAGTAAGGGTCTGACATCACATTTGAATTCAAGGCTCAGCACTCTTATCTGCTCCACCACCTAGCTGCCTCAGGATTTATTTTAAAGACATACAAGACATTCTAAACACAAAATACCTCCAAGGGTACATTGACAAAAAGACAAAACAGGATCTGGTAACAACTCATAGTTATGATTGTACCAACTATTCTATCACTCCCCAAGTTGAAACTTAAACCTCAGTGGAACATAAATCAGTTTTTGCTACTATAGAGTAAGCATTGTTACATTTCACCTTGGTTCGGCACTGATCCATTGAAATCTATGTCTACTGCCCATCCAGGCCAAGGCTTAGACTTTTGACTCCACTTTAGAGACTCAGGACCTCCTAATTCTTTGGCAACAAGATTTTCTCCAAGTATAGACATGACCCTTTTGAGATAAATGTTGTCATCCTGTACCAGGCAAACATGCACAAAGAAGCAGCCTAGGCTGAAGTTTACCTGGATAGGATATATGCTTTAGCTGCTATGTGCTCTGCAGTCCCTTCCTTTTTCCCACAGGAGAACTGCTTGTCAAATGGAGAATCCAAAGGAAAAGACAGCCACATGAAGTCACCTGCATTTTAAAGAATCGTTGAATCATGAGCACTTGCTGTTGAATGGCTAATAAGGAGGAGGTTTTGTCATCCCAAAACCATCCTTCAGAGCTGGGTCACCAGAAGTGTCTTCATCATACAAGCATCCAATTCCTGAGCTATATAACATTAGGTCAGCCAGAATCAGAGAGGACAGTTATACAATGTCCCTTTCATACTCTAGTTATATGCTCTAGTTATACTCTTCCCACAGTTGAATATTTTATTTCCTCACCAAATGAACTAGGAAGAAATTTGTCTATATCTTTAATTCTAGAAAGTTCTCTAGAGTTCTAAGTCAGCAAAAGCATTGTCCTTTCAAGTTTCATCCTCTAAAGCCATGCACTAAAGGGTGTCAAACAGTACACGCTATGCAGCTTTTAAATATTTTCCCCAAATTAAGCCTTTAGTGTGAGCCCAGGTCCACCACAGCTGGTGGGCCTTGAGATCACAATCCCCTTAATCACACTTCAACAACCAATAATGTACAAATATAAATAAGTTTCTCTTTGTTTAATGTTTTAAAAGGGACTGTCCCAATCCAAGCAAATAGGGAAAAAGAAAATGGGGGTGGGGAAGAGGAGAAAATGAAAATTGGAATAAAAAACTAACAAAAGTGAAATGAGAAAAAAAGAAAAATTAACTGCCACCTCCAGAGAAAGACATGATTCTCAAATGAGCTTCCAGATATGGGATTAAGGACTTTTACTCTCAGAGGAGCGACCAAACTATAATTTTCGTAATACTGAGCCAGTCTTGAATTCCTGGTATAAATCCTACCTGGTTATAGTTTGTAATCTTTTTGATATGTTGCTATAGCAACATTTAAAATTTTATTTTACATTTTATTTATTTAAAATTTGTTCACATTGATATTCATTAAAGATCCTGGTCTATAAATTTCTTTCTCTGATTTTTCTCTCCCTGGCTTAGGTATTAAGACTGTATTTGTATCATGGAAAGAATCTAGGGGGATAATTTTTTCCCTATTTTTCAAACAATGTAATATTGGAATTTTCCTTTGAATGTTTGATAGAATTCACTTTTAAATCCATCTCATCCTGTTTTTTTTTTCCTTTTGGGATTTCATTTATGGCTTCTGCAATTTCTTTTCCTGAGGTTGAATTATATAAATTTGCTATTTTTCATTCAACTAGTCTAGTCATTTTATATTCTTATAAGTTTTCATCCATTTCATTTGTCAGTTTTCTTGCCATACATTAGGCAAAATAGTTTCTAATAATTTCCTTATCACTTCTTTGTTTTGATTTCTCCTTTTCTATTTTCAATACTGCTTATTTGGTTTTTCCTCTCCAAAAAAATCAGACTAGCTAATGGTTTATTTATTTTTTAAAAAAAGAGCTGCTAGTTTTATTTATTAATTCAGTGTTTTTCCTGTCAATTTTTCTTTACTGTTTTGATTTTAAATCTCTATTTTGATGTTTAGTTGGTTTTCTAGATTTTACAGTTGTGTGCCCAATTCATTAATCTGTCCTTTCTCTATTTTGTTGATGAAAATATTTATGCATTTAATTTTCCATGAAAGACCACGTTGGTTACAACCTAACCATACCAAAGCACTGCTCTCATTTTTGTCATTTCCCCCAACCCCCAAAAGAAATCCCCTATTGTTTTTCCATTGTTTTGCCTTTTGACTCACCAGTTCTTTAGCATTAAGTTATTTAATCTCCAGTCATACTTTTTTGAAGAACCTTTATCTAATATAATTATCATCAAATTATCATCCATAAATGATAGAGTTAATGCTTGTGTTTTTTTTCTGCTTCTATTTGTGAGATTTTTCTGCCCTGGTGTGTGGTCAATTTATAAAAAGTGCCATGGACAGTTGAGAAATATTTAAATTCCTTTTTGTTCTTATTTAGCAGCTTCCAGAGATCTATTCTATTCAAATGTTCTTAAGTTCTGTTCTGGTCCTTAACATCTTTCTTGTTTATCTTTTGATTACATTTGTCTAGTTCTACTAGGAGAACATTGAGGTTTCCAATTATAATAATTTCACAGCTTATTTCATCTTTAAGTTGATGAACTTGTCCTTTATTATTTAGATGCTGTACCATTTCTTCCTATTTTCTTTCTTTCTTTTTTCTTTCCTTCTTTATTTCTTGCCTTCTTTCTTTCCTCCTTCACAATTCATCCTCTGAAGCTAGAGTTGCTTTTCTTATGACTAATTTTTTTCTGAATTCACCCTCAGTATTAATCCCCACCTCCCCTTCTTTCTCCCAGCTGACTCTTTGTGAATGATTCTTCATATATTTCTACATCAAATTCTGTGTGATTGTATGTGTTCAGTCCTTATTATGGTTCTGCTGAAAGTTTGTTCATGTTTAGCCCACTCTCCCCATCACTTTTTTAAATTTTAATTTATTTTATTTTTAATTTATGGATTAAAACAAGTAATTCCATAACATAGTATAATAAAAAAAAACATGATTACACATGAAATCGCAAATCCATTTTGTACAACTTGCTATTCCTTTTAAATATTTAATGAAGTTATCGTGTAAATTTCTTTTTTCTCTTTTTTTCTTCCCTCGCCATCCCTTCACACCCTTGAGATAGGTACCATTAGACACAAATATACATGTAAAATTATTCCATACATACTTCTATTTACTAGTTCTTTCTCTGGATGCAATTGGCATCTTTCTTCAAATTATGGTTAATTTGGGTATTTATAATAGTCAAAATGACCTATTTGCTCAAAGTTTTTCTTAAAACAATATTGCTATTATTGTATACAATGTTCTCTTAGTTCTACTCATTTCGCTCTTCATTATTTCATGCAAGTCTTTCCACGTTTTTCTAAGATCATTGAGCTCATCATTTCTTATAGCATGGTAGTATTCCATTACAATCATGTGCCACAACTTGTTCCTCAGTTAATCGGCATTCCTGAAATTTCTAGTTCTTTGCCACCACTACAAGAGCTGCTATAAACATTTTAGAACATATAGGGCTTTTTTTCACCTTTTCCCCTAATCACCTTTGTAATCACCTAGTAATGGTATTGCTGGGTCAAAGGGTATGGCAGTTTACTAACTCTTTGGGCATAATTCCAGATTGTTCTCCAAAATGGTTGGATCAGTTCACAGTTTCATCAACAATGAATTAGTGTCCCAATTTTTCCACATCCCCTCCAACATTTGTCACTTTCTCCTTCAATCATTTTAGACAATCTGATAGGTATAAAATGACACCACAAGGTTATTTTAATTTGCATTTCACTAATCAATAATTATTTAGAGCATTTTTATATGACTATAAATTGTTTTTATTTCTTCATTGGCAAATTGTTCATATTCTTTAGCATTTATCAATTGGGGAAGGATTCATATTCTTAGACAAAGTTCTTTATATATTTGAGATATGAGGCCTTTAACTAAGAAATGTCTTTAACATTTCCACCCAACACCCCACCATTTTTCTGCTTTCCTTCTGGTCTTGGTGACATTTGTTTTATTTGTACAAAACCTTTTTAATTTAATGTAATAGAAATTATCCATTTTACATCTCACAACCCTCTCTCTCTCTTGTTTATTTGTAAATTGTTTATCTATCTATAAGTTCGATAAGTAATGTGTGCCATGTTCTAATTTTCCTGTAATCTCTCTCTTTTTATATCTAGGTCATGTATCCATTTTGACCTTATCTTGGTAAATGGTATAAGATACTGGTCTATGCCCAATTTCTGCCGTACTGCTTTCCAGTTTTCCCAATCATTTTACCAAATAGTGAATTCTTATCCCAAAATCTTAAGTCTTTACACTTGTCAAATACTCAGTTATTATTGAATAATATTGTTGATAGTGGGCATCCTTGTTTCACACCTGATCTTACTGAGAAGACTTCTGGCTTATCCTCCTTACAGATAATGCTTGCTGATGGTTTTAGATAAATGCTTTTTATCAATTTAAGGAAAAATCTATTTATACCAATACTTTCAAGTGTTTTTAATAGAAATGAGTATTGTACTTTACCAAAAGCTTTTTCTGAATCTATGGATACAATCATATGATTTTTTAAACTTTTATTATTGATATAATAAACCATGTTAATAGTTTTCCTTATGTTAAACCATCCCTGAATTCCTGGTATAAATCCCACTTAAGCATAATGTGTAATCTTTATAATATATTGTTGTAATCTTTTAGCTAGTATTTTATTTAGGATTTTTGCATTCATATTCATTAATGAAAGTGGTCTATAATTTTCTTTCTCTGTTTTTGCTCTTCCCGGTTTAGGTATCAGTATCATATTTGTTTCATAAAGGAGTTTGGTAAGATCCCTTCTTTGTCTGTTATTCCGTGTAACTTATTTAATATTGGAATTAATTGATCTTTAAATGTTTGACAGAATTCACTTGTAAATCCATCTGGTCCTGTTGCTTTTTTCTTAGAAAGCTCATTTATATCTTGTTTAATTTCTTTTTCTAAAATGGTTCTATTTAGATATTATATTTTCTCTTCTGCTAATCTAGGCAATTTATATTTTTGTAAATATTTTTCCATTTTACCTAAATTGTTAAATTTATTGGCATATAATTGGGCAAAAAAGATAATTGCTTTAATTTAATCTTCATTAGTGGTATATTCATACTTTTCATTTTTAATTCTAGAGATCTGGTTTTCTTCTGTCTTTTTAAAAACCAAATTAACCAATTTTTAATCTATATTTTCATAAAACCAACTCCTAGTTTTGTTTATTAATTCAATGGGTTTTTTAACACTCAGTTTTATTAATCTCACTTTTAAGTTTTAGGACTTCCAATTTAGTCTTTAATTGGGGATTTTTAGTTTGTTCTTTCTCTAGTTGTTTTTTTTTTAATGGCATGCCAAATTCAGTAGTCTGCTCTTTCTCTATTTTATTGATGTAAGCATTTGGAGATATAAATTTTCCTCTGATCACTGTTTTTACTGTATCCCATTTTTGTATATTGTTTCATTATTGTCATTTTCTTTGATGAAATTATTGATTGTTTCTGTGATTTGTTCTTTAATTCACTCATTATTTAAGATTAGGTTGTTTAATCTCTAATTAGTTTTTAATCTATGTTTCCATGGTGCCTTACTAAATATAATTTTTATTGCATTGTGATCTAAAAAGCATACTTTTAATATTTCTGTTTTTAACTATAAAATTTTCATGTACTAATGTATGGTCCATCTTTGTAAAGGCCTGATGAACTGCTAAGAGAAGGTGTATTCCTTTCTATTTCCATTCAATTATCTCCAGCTATCTATCATATCTAGCTTATCTAAAATTCTATTCACTTTCTTACCTTCTTTCTTATTTATTTTTTGGTTAGACGTATCTAGTTCTGAAAGGGGACAATTAAAGTGCCCCATTCCCCAACACTTTTTGCAAATTTGTAGTTTTCTTCTCCAGCATCCTGAGTATGTGAAATAAGTTCTACCCATCTCCTCCCTTCTCCTTTCCCAGTGGATTATTTTTCCTTCTATTTTTTTCCCTCTGAAGACTGCCAAAATAAATGTATCCTATCAAATTCCTTCTATGATACAGATATGATCTTGATATCCAAACCAGGAAAAGTCAAAATAGACAAAGAAAACAATAAATCAATATCCCTAATGAACACTACTGCAAAATTTATAAATAAAATATTAGCAAGTAGACTTTGGTAGTGTATCACAAAGATCAGACCACATTACTGGGATTCTGTTTCTTACTTTAACAATGTTTGAGATCTCCTCCCAGTACCTTCACCTTGTTTGCCTTTCTATAGCCCACTGACTCAGCTAATCTGACTGACGACTCATGGAAGCAGACACGCCAAACCACCATTCCCCTAACCTCCTCTGGTACAGCTGCCTCCTTTAATGCCAGAACCCTGTTTCTGATGCCATGAACTTCACCTACTACATTCAACAGAATTTCTCCCCCAGCTTTAGGTTGAGGCTGCCAACTGCCTGATCAGCTGCTATTTATAATTCTTCTATGCCTACTTGTTCTTGGTTTTCTATTTCAACCAATGGTGTTGCCCTCTCCAGGTGTCACACTATTTCCATGATGTGATGAAGGTTCCAGAACCAGCATAAGGATCATGACTACCTCCAGGTTAGGCAGAAACTTACCCCAAATGAGTAGGGCCACAACCTGGATGCCATTGGAGACTGTCCTGACCCTGGAAAAGTACTTGAATTAGGCCTTACCCAAGCAGCATACACTTGAGTACCAGCCAAAGTACCCAAAGATATGGGTACCCGTATCTCTATGACTTCCTGAAGAACTGCTATCTGGGGGTGGAAGTGAAGCTGCTAAAGCAACTGGGCTTCAGAATGTATAAAAAACTCGGGATGGGAGAGGGATTTAACTTCCAGGACACACAGGTACTACATGAATACAACTATAAAGACTTTTATGAATTTAGGGCAAATGAAATAAGCAGAACCAGGAGAAAAATTTATATAATTAAAAACATTTGTAAAAACAAACAACTTCAAAAAAACTCTAATCAACACAATAACCAACCACAATTTTTAAATTAAAAGGGCTTTTTTTTAATTAATAGAGATCTATTTTCCTTTCTCCTTTCCCTCCATAGAAGGGAATTGAGGGGATTATGACAGTGAATGGTTAATTGTGGGGAGTGAACTACACTAACTCCATTTTTTTTTGGGGGGGTGAGGCAATCAGGGTTAAATGACTTGTCCAGGGTCATACAGTTAGTGTCAAGTGTCTGAGGCCGGACTTGAGCTCAGGTCCTCCTCACTCCAGGGCCTGTGCTCTAAATGAACTCCATCTTGTGACTCAATTCTGGAGGTAGCTCAGCTCCCTTTCTATTCTATCATGGGTTTTAGTCTAACTTCTGTCTGGTGAGAAAACTTTATTCAATTGTGGGAACTGTGAGAAAACCTTATTGCACTGTGCAAACCTAGCCCTGTGTGGCCCAGAAGCTGTCCTACCTCCACTTGCTGCTTAGAGACCCTCAACTAAGGACCTTGGTTATGCTGACCAGAAACCCAGTCAGCTCCTAAGACTGATGCAAGGAAGTTTTATTTTTCATAATTATATATTTCGAACAACCCATATTTATCTGAAAATTGGCCCTGTACTGATCAATCAGATATTATTTCCATTTCCTTCACAGATACTTCAGAGGAGTAGGATATCTCTTTTTCTAATTTCAGGAAAGTGCTCCTGTCCACTTTCCCCCTCCCAACCTGGAAATCTTAGGAAATCTCTAATCTTTTCTCCAGTCAAAAATCAGATTATCTAATGTTGTGACCTGGTTGTGACAGTTGTTAATTGTAGTATTCATTTTCCCAGACTTACTTTCTGAATTGGGATTTTGTATCAGGCCTAGGGGCTGTGCATTTCTGGAAGGAATAATGGCATTTTTTTTATCTTAATATGAATTATCTGAGGTCTGTAATGATACTGTGTTCTTCACACATCTCAATATATATATATATATAGCACCTACTAAATGCCAAGTAGTTTGACCAGTGAAATTTCTGTGTGGTGTAGTCTGCACCAGGACAATCTAATCCAAGGCATAGTATGATTATTGTTTTTCTTATCTGAGCCTCTCAGGTCCCTAAACTCCATTTGGAGTTGAAGCGATACAGTTGCAGGCTCCATGCTTCCTGAGCTCACTCTTGGTCCCTACAATAAGCAATACTAAGCCTTTACTATATGCCAGACACTGTGCTAAGTGCTAAGGGTACAAAGAAAGACAATAAATAGTCCCTGTCCTAAGGAGGGCATATTCTAATTGGGGAGAAAACATGCAAAAAAGCCTATGTACAAAGATATATGTAGAGTAAATTGGGAGTAACCTCAAAGGGAAGGCACTAGCATTAAGAGATACAGGGAAAGGATTCTTGCAGAAAGTGGGATTTTAGATGACACTTGAAAAAAAGCCATGCAAACCAAGAGGTAGAGATGAGGAATGAGAGCATTCCAGGCATGGAGATAGCCAGTAAAAATTTCCAGAGTCTGAAAATGAAGTGTCTTGTGTTAGGAACAGCAAGAAGGCCAGTGTCACTGGATCATAGAATAGGTAGAGGAGAGTAAAGTCTAAGAAGACTGGAAAAGTGGCAAGGGGCAAGATGACGAAGAGCTTAAAAGCCAAACAGTATTTTACATCTTATCTTACAGATAATAGGGACAAAGGTATCCACGTAAGGCTTCTACCATCCTACACACACAGCCAAAGCCCTCACATGCCATTTTATAACCTATTGGCAGCGCATAATGGTCAAGTCAATATTTATCAGACAGGTATATGAACATAGTCAATAAGAGTCCTTTCCAATTAGGCATCAATAATTTAACACAAGGGCAGTATAAAAGATAAATTAAGTTCAAGATAGAAGGAGAAAGAAAGGTAACAAGAATTTGTATGATACCTACTAAGTGCCAAGGAGAAAAGTTTGGGGCTTGGTTCTCTTAAAGTATTTTGAAATATTTTTTCAAGTTGTGCCACAATTAGTGCGATGAAACCTATTGACACCTATACAAAACAAAATCCTCAAGTAAATGTGACTCAAACTCAGACAAGCAAACTGGAAAAAGCTGAAGACCCCTTCTCTACAGTTCTATATGAGGGCAAGAGAGGGGCATCTGAAAATGGTTTAGCCATCCTTCCTTCTTCAGATGAGTACCCTTAAAATGAAAAGAGTAGCTCTTTGTTGAAGACCAGATGGTCAGTGCTGCTGGGAAGTCTAGAATCACAGAGTGGCTGATTTGGAAAACACATTAGAGATCAAATTATTTCAAAGCCAAGAAAACTGAAGCCCAGAAAAGCGATACTGCTTGCCTGAGCTCACATGGCTCAGTAGTGGTAGGACTAGACAATGAACTCATGTCTTTCCTGACTCCTAGCTCAGTGCTCTTTTCATCATTCCATAAATGAGCAGAATACAGTCTTTAGTGTGTTCTAAACTGTGTAAAAAACATGAAAAGTCATGTCCTGTTATGTGCTATATAAATGCTGTCTCCCAGTATTTCTTTTCACTTTCATTCTTTATGGCTGAATTAATGTGTATGGCCGCTAGGTAGTGCAGTGGATGATGTATGGGCCTGGAGTCAGGAAAATTGAGTTCAAATACTACCTCAGGCACTTAACTAGCTACGTGACTCTAGGCAAGTCACTGGGCAAACCCTGTTTGCCTCCGTTTCCTCATCGGCAAAATGAGCTGGAAAAGGAAATGGCGAACCACTCCAGTATCTTTGCCAAGAAAACCCAAAAATGGGTCATGAAGAGTTGGACACAACTGAAAACCACTAAGTAACAACAATGGGTATGGAGTGGCCTATATTCTTTGTTTTTCCCTAGTGATCATTGACTCTTACGGGCACAGTAGATCCTAAAACAAGAACACAAGAAATGAACATAAGTAGGCAATGACTTAACATTTTAGATCCCTTTCAATGTCCCCATGAATAATATCTTTGGCAAACTGTAGATCTGGTACATTAATGATATAAAGATAGCCAGCTTCATAATATTCAATTAAATGTTATTTCTAAAGACTGAAGATTTATAAATTAATCTGAATTTTAAACACATAGACACACATACACACAATACCAGTTTGAAGATGATTATAAAAGATCCTCAGATTCAGAGGCCTTGACTCTCACACTAAGTCTTAGCTCTTAACTTATACAGACTGGATTCTGTACTGGGGCAACCTCGCCCTTACAGAGAGAGGTCAGGCTTTTTCCTTTCCATTATCTCGGGCTCATTATGCCCTCCACTCTACAGCAGAACTCAGGGGATAATATGTTCAACAAAGCTGAGCTTTGACTCATGTCTATGGTCTCCTCAAAAAAGGATTAACAAAGTCCCTTCTAGAAAATTAATCAATGTACAAAATAGATCAAGTATAGTACCATTCCACTTCAAAAGAAATGCTTAAAATTGAAGACTTCTTTTACTCCTGCCTGACAGCGGTGGCAGTGGAGCTCGCGGGCGGTGGGCAGCCTGGTGTCCGAGGTGGTGGGAAGGGATCGGGGCAGGGGCCGGGCCGGGACCCCCCAGTCTGGGTTCTGCTGGAGGTGGTCGTCCCCAGTGCAGTTAGAGGAGCCGCTGCGCCTCTGGGCCAGGTCCCTCGTTGTCATCCATTTCTGGGCACCGTGGGCTCCTCAGTGCACGCAGATGAATGACGTCATGGAGGAATTAGCCAAAGAATACCCCCAAATGGCATTTGTGAAGTTGGAAACGGAAGCTGTTCCTGAAGTGTCTGAGAAATATGAAATTAGTTCTGTCCCGACCTTTCTGTTCTTTAAGAACGCGCAGAGAGTGGATGGGTTATATGGCGCCCACGCCCCTGAGCTGACCAGGAAGGAGTGCCAAGTCTTCCCCGGGTCGAATCCATGTAGGAAGTTCTTAACCTTTGTCTAAAGAAGCTGACGAAGGCTGCTCCATGGTCACCACAAGAACCTCGCTGAGGTTTCAGCAAGCAGATGGTGGAAATTCTTAACAAGCTTAATATTCATTTTAGCAGTTTTGATATCATTTCGGATGAAAACGTGAGCCAAGGACTCAAAACATACTCCAGTTGGCCCATTTATCCTCAGTTATATGTGGCTGGAGATCTGATAGGAGGTCTAGATAATTGTTAAGGAATTGGAAGCATCTAATGAGCTCGATAAAATTTGTCCCAAAGTCCCCAAACTAGAAGAAAGGCTCAAAGTACTGACAAATAAAGCTTCTGTGATGCTATTTATGAAAGAAAGCAAACAAATGGCAAAATGCGGATTCAGCAAACAAATTCCAGAAATTCTTAATGACACTGGTATTGATTTTGAGACGTTTGATATCTTGGAGGACGAGGAAGTGTGGCAAGGACTAAAAGCTTACTCCAACTGGCCAACGCATCCCCAGGTGTACGTGAAAAGTGAGCTTGTCGGAGGATTGGATATGTTTAAAGAACTGAAGGAAAACGGCGAATTGTTGCCTTTCCTGAAAGGAGAAACTTGTGAATCCGCAAGGCTGCAGCGTGCTGCGCAAAGCACTTCCTGAGCGTGGAAACAATTCATGAGTCGGTCTTGCGAAGTTGGGGAGGAGCATAGGACTTCTTCACCTGTTTATCA